CCGCCCGCCCCCCCCCCCCCCGCCCCCCCCCCCCCCCCCCCCCCCCCCCCCCCCCCCCCCCCCCCCCCCCGCCCGGCCCCCCCCCCCCCCCACAGGGACTACCGACAGTGGACAATGGCATTGTTGGCCCTGGAGGTGGCGTGGAATGTAGTGCATACCTGTGATTGCTTCCAGAACAAATGTTGCCTACCTACCCAGGCACCTACCTACCTTAGGTAGTTGTAAGTCGGCTCCGAAGGGGGAAACCGTGGGCAAGAATGAGTCGGGACCGGGTCTGATGGTTGCCTCATTCCCTGATTTCGTTTCCAAGCATGCGCATACATGCCGTCTTGAGTTAGGTAGGTAGGTATCTACTTACTACTACCAAGGTAGCTAGCCACCTTGTGTACGCACGAGAAGTCCAGGCAGCGACATGCAACCAGAAAGCAGCTATCATCAAATGTCTTGGCATGTCGCTCTCTTCTCAATACCTTTGAGTGGCGAGGTTACGGTAGGAAGCCTAGATAGATAGGGATGCACGGCAAGGGGTCACCGTCGAGTGATCAATTGATTGATTTGGGTCCTTTTTTCTTTCTTATTGGACCACGGCCAGTCACCCCGGAATCATTTGGCCGGAGGGCGGAGCGGGAGTAGCAGGGCAGTGCAGTTTTGGCGAAAAGGGCTTGGGCCGGGCCGGATAATGGGCCTGGGGGGGAAGCGTGCAAAAGAAAATGGCCGTCCCGCATGCGGCCACCCCCCTTCATCGCCATCGCCAATGCCGAACAACCTCTCCCAATCGCTTCCGTGGTCTGTTGGTTTGCTAGGTGGAATGTTAGCGCGCACTAGGCACTCATCTAACCTCGCCGGACTGGAAACCGATTTTGCCTTCGTTTTGATTCTTTACGTCCTGTCCTGTCTGTTGTCTGCCTTTGCTGCGGCTCACCGCCATCGCCTCGCCTGGCCAGCGCCCCGGGGCCGGTTGCATATCGTGGCTCGCCTGTCACGAATATCAATTCAGGTTTCCACCAGTTATGGGGTCTCGGGACAGTTTGCCCATCCTCCAATGAGGATTTGCACCCTGCGTGTGCGTGTGGCATTGTGATAGACCCTCGTAGAGACCGCGAGGCAGGATGACCTACCGCAACCGGAATGACATGGGCAAGAGAGGCCTTCCCTTCTTGGGAGGGTGTGTGAAATGCTCTGGCCACTAGTGCTTCGACAGGCTGCCTACTTGGTGGTGTGTCTATCTGCCGAGTCAGATGCACCACACATCCCCTCATTCTGTTGGACGTCGTCGATTGTAGTCTGCGGTCTACGGCCAGTCAGATTTGGTCGATGAGAACTAGACTTCATAGGGCCATGCTGTCCAGAGGAATTTCACAGGGCGATGTGGCGCACACCCATCTCGGGAGTCACGAGCATCGATCATATCTCATCGGGTGCTTCTGCTCGTGCACTAGCTGGATCTGTTAACCATATAGCAGGTTTGTTACGCTGCAGGGATCACACAAGCAGCGCGTCTGTTTGCAAAAGGAGGATGCAATGCAGGCACATTCCTGCTCCCTACGCAACCATGCCAAATCATCAAGATTACAGGAAGTTCAAAGGTTGTGGTAGGTTGTCTTCTGGAATGGTGCTCGAGAGCGGAACCAACTGCTCTTGACACGAGCACGGTTGCGGCCGTGATGGGGTCTTGAGGGTGCATCAACCGGTGAGTTCACAAGCAGCAACCCCCGCAAGCCAATGAAAGGGGAGCCCTTGACGGTTGAGCATTTCAGGCACTTTCCTTGAGATAGAGGCTGTACATGATGGTACCTGTCACCGCGTCCCCCTGTGCCCTGCTGGAAACGCACGCACAAAATCCTGGGACAAGAGAAACACCCCCCAGAGGGAGTCGGTCCCGTCTGGCCGAGAAAAGCGGACAAGATGACGGTATCGACCTCGGGACCGTTAACCACACCCCAGCCCGGTGACGGGGAGGCTTCGCTCACGCATGTGAGTCAATCTTAATGGAACAACTCTGTCACCAGGTGCACCCTGGGCCCTCGAAACGGGGCAGCGGAAACACACCATCCTCTAGCCAAGGATGTTGGATATTCTCCCGCTGCGTGCCGCCCATCGAGGATGTGGCCTGTAGTATTCCCGAAATTAAGAGAACGAAGAATGGGAAGACCGGGAAATGGAGAATTGGGTAAGGCAAAGATACATCGAGATGGGCCCAGGGTTGCCGCAACAGGGCAACAGGGGGCATCGTTGGTGTCCCACAGGGGCCCATCAACGTTAATGGTCACTTAATTTTCCCAAGGCATTATTTGTCGGCACCGGCGTTATGCCCCCGGCGATAGTGATACAACTCCGGATCTAGATGCGGAATACAACACCTGAAGGCCCAATGGCTCTGCTGCTTGCGCCCATAGGGAGTAAGTAGTACATGGCCCGAGAGTCTGGCAAGGAGTCTCGGGGTGACAATGCTGATGAAACGTGCAACCGGGGCTCGTCCAGCACGAGATTAGCACGGCCTGAGAATGCCTGAGCCTCCCACTCCCATTGCTATGGCCATCGTAAGGTATGTAATTCCCAATGGCGCGGAAGCGACTAAGCCTATAGGAGGTTTGGCGCGAGTTGACTCACTCGGGCTGGCTCGACTGCATCTGCGATAGATCAACCGAAGGAGTAGACGCGGTCGAGGAGCCGCGATTACCACCTTTCCCGGGACCCAGGAGGGCTCGTGACCAGTCGATAGACTTGAGCGATCGGTCCGTTGGCGAGAGGTGGGCAGGGAAGGAAATGCGGCGGCGGCAAAGCGGCCATACAGGCCAGAGGAAAGCCAGAAGTGGCTCCCTTAATGAGCCGGTTAGGGGGCCACCCTCGCAGGTGAGGTGTTGCGTGGCAAAACCTGACCATTCATGATTGACACAGGTTGCAGATAATCGACCTAACACTGGCACCCCTGAAATACGCATGTAGGATGGGAAAGATGGGACGCTGATTGACGTGGGATTGTATGTATGTACATACTTCGTACACGAGAGCTAGAGGGCCTGTCGTCGCGATGTAATGCCTTGTTTCCGTACCAAGAAGCAGTGTGCTGAAATATGCAAGCTCGCTGGAATTTGCACGCGATATGCTCTGCTGTTGGCTGGTCTACGAACATGCATGCGATGCAGTCGTCGTCATGCTAGCCAATCGACGTGCCGGGTAAGCGCGCCATTGAGCGGCTAAACTTAATCACTTCCCCTGTTATATCACAACCTGCTCCGCCCTGCGGAAAGCAGGGCCGTATCTAGTACCCCACTAACAAGTCTTTGCTACAAGGGTGGTCTCTGAACGTTACTTGGTGTGCGGGGTGCCAGCACCAGGCAAGGCAGAATTTGCAGGGCGACCCGACAGAATGGTAACGGCTCTCATTGGCTCGGCAGGCTTGCAACTCCCCTTCCCGCAAATTAAGTCGAGGAAACTGTGGCGCCCACCTCGAAAATTCCTCTCTCGGGGACCAGCTTGCGAGCTTGCGGCCGAAGGAGACAAGGTGGCAACGGCAGGCTTTAGCTCGAGCATCGCACTCTCCTTCAGTCAGACCTACCCTGGTTCTTTGGACGAAACGCGAGCAGAGAAAGTGGTTGATGCCCCGTCCGAAATGTTCGATAAATTGTCATCACATCTCCCTGACCTACAGCCCTAGATTTGCGGGCACACATATCTGCCGCAGTTCAGCAGCACGTACCGCGTAACAACGTACGACAACTTGGGCTGGTACAGCAGTACTTGGGTATTGCGCAGTCGTGATCGGCAAGGGTGGCGGCCCTGGAGAGCTGGAAAGAGCATGCCGTAGCGGCTATCATCTGAAGTACCTCTTTTCCAATGACAAATGTACACTACGCGGCGGCACCTCATTCATGCAATCCAGACACGGCCACCCTACGTGCTTTTTCAAATCATCGGCCCACGGTTCACCAGCACATCACCGTTTGATGGTCGGCCGGGGAGCGGGGGTCTAGAGTCAATTATTAGATCTCCAAAACGCTCCACATCAATAACGTAGGCAACTAAACTATACTATCCATGTACCCACGTACACTACGCTACGCCAGCAGCGCCACCCACCCCTTCCTTGTTCATCAGATGATCAGACAGATCAGATTGCCCCCTTCTGGGTTATGCTTATCTTCAGTATCGTCATTGTTTTGACCCTATTCTTCCTGGTTCCCGATCTTTTCGTCGGGTTTAATTCCCTTCAGTGACTCTCAGCATAGGCCGCTACAGCATGGGAGTAAGCGAATAATGTCGATTTTGCGCTGATCGGTTCGTGCGTGTCGATGCGAACACATCAGGATGGCACTGCTTGTTTCATCCACGCTGTCGGCTCCCCATCCCAGCAGGGCCTCTTTTTTTTTTGTCATTCCTTTCCTGGGCAAATTCCAATTCAGTATGAAAGTCAAATGCGCCAGCTACTCACAGCTGGTACCGATACTGGAAATCTTGCGTGGATATTCGTAGCTTTTGGGTATTGGTTTGCGCTGTAAGAGAGATCCAATGAGGAGTCAACAAAGGTACCTACCTAATTGTACATGATACTTGTGTTCAATACAGACGTGCGTACCGACGTAAACATGGGCAAATTCATGGGTCCCCTGTTCAATGCGAACCTACCTAGGTAGGTAGCACTCAGTACCTAACCTAGGTACCACAGTAGAGTGTCGCGGACACCCCGGCAGCCACAGTTTTTGTAGGCACTAGGCAGCGATCTCCCTAGCAAAAGATTAGTTCTCTTGGTCTGAAAACACCATCTCCGAACTGGTGATTAGTGTCAATTCCAACGGGCATTTACGAACTTGGGTAAGTGCGGCTTTCCTAGCTTTGCTGCTTATTTTCTCTATTGCTAGAGAAACTGGCGTTCCCCCCCCCAGCCGCCCCGTTCAAATGGTGTGGATCAGTGTGTGGTGATGTGATGGTAGTGGTGGTGGACACCATTGGACCTGGAGCGGATCCATCGATGTACTTCAGGATACATGGGCCGAGGTCTCCCCTACATCTACATGTACTGTAGGTACCTACCTACTTGTGCCCCATGGATCCACTTGCTTTTCCTTTCCTTCCCTTCCCACGCCAGCACTTCATCCACACACATCCCATCTATTATGTACGAAGTATTTACCTGCTCCAATCTAGCAGGATAGCACCTGCGGAACAGTGTTGCTGTTACTCCTGTCAAGGGGCCCCCCCTTAGCCTACACTCCGACCACGCCCTTCTCCCCGTTTCCCACCACGCCCCTCCCCCTGCTCTGCTTCCCCCATGCCTCACATCCTCCCTCTATCTTTACCTGCTCACCCTGGTCCAAGACTTGCCGTTCCCGCAAGCCTCCTCTCCGAGATCCCCGCCTCATGTCGCTGTTGAGCCCACGCAGGTGTAATCCTGGTTGTTTTCCTCATCCCCGTCCCCCTCCATGCCAGCGGTCCGCATTAATTTATTATGGAATTGGCTCAGATCACAGCTCTACACTCGATCAGCAAGGCCTGGAGACTTCCAAGAGTACCTCCCGCGACCTTGCAGGGTACATGTAATGGTAGCTCTTTGTATGAGGTGGATGTACGTAGTAGGTCGTGGCCGTCGTCGTTTTTAATAAAATATTCCCCCAGCATTTCTCATGGATTCTCAACGCCGGTTCGAGACTCTCTCTCTCTCTTCTCTCCCCTGCTTCCCTGTCAAGTGCAAGACGTATTGCAAGACGTATTACGATCGATTCCTTCACACTGCTCTACGCGTTGAGTAAAGCCAAGAGAGACGGCTCTATTCTTCACGCATTAATCCGTTGGCGTGCCCTGCCTCTACTTCGACCTGGTTAGCCTTGCCCTGCCTCACTCACATCTCTCTCGCCGTTCAAGCGCGACTTCGGACGAAGCGGGAGTTCCCAAAGGCCGCGGCAGAATAAAGCCGGATCCAGACTTCATTCTTGTGCGCCTCTTCTTCGCTTGGTCTTGGAAAACCCGACTGTTCCCTGCAGGGATAACGGGTGCAGCGACCCTGGCAGTACTTGCAACAGCCGTTGTATGCGCAGTCGAACGATAGAGCTCGGCGGCTAACTCTGCATCGAAAAGGTACCTTGAACTTCCCTTTGCACCCCACAGCGCCTGACAAGGCACAGCACTGGCCGAGATTTCTGGCCCGTCTCGTTCTAGTCAAGGCCGATCCCTAAAGGAGGCTTGTCGGGTTCCTGAGTAGGAGGGTAGCTAACACACCTGGTCCATCCGGTAGCTTTCTCCAGGCACGAGCAGCCCGTTTCCGGCCCCACACCACAACCAGCTTCTGCTTTCACTCCAGAATCCCCGTCTTTATTATAGCTTCGACGTCCGCCCACCATAAGGCTCTCTTCTCTGCCCTTTTCTTCTCACCCCTTACCCTCTATCTCCCTACTTCACCTCGACCGGTTCTCCGACCCAGAAGGCAGACTGGTTTACAAGTCATTGTGGAACCTCCCGGCATCCATATAGCTCACCTCCCACCTTCCCCCCCAGGCATCCATGAGGACTAAAGGTCAACTGGCAGACAAGCAACACACCAAGTCGCAACACTGACTGCCATTCTCCTCGACCAATACGATCTATCATCACCTTGACTCAGACCCGGATCAAGGCGGGAACACACACTTAGACCGAATGCATATCCACATCGATATGACAGAGAATCACTATCTAGCAGCGAGTGTGCACCACCAGGACAACCTCCGCGCGGACTGCTTGCCTGGCACATGCTCAAGTGAGCAGCCCGCCCTGGTCGCCTACTCAACACAAGACTTGACTCCCTACACTGCCGTAAGTTCACGTCCTCCCCCCACTTCGGTGTCTCTGGGCGGGAGCTTCCTCCGTCGAAGAGCCAGAGGCGGGAATAGCCCAGACTCTTATACGTACATGTCGCAGGTCTCATCATTCAACTACCCGGCTGCCGCGGATTCTAGCCTTCTGACACCTGTATCCAACGCCGCCTCTCCTCCACTACAGCAGAGGCAGTCAACAAAGGGCATGCAGTACACCTCGCAAGCCGTCTCTGGTCCTCAGCAGCCCACCCCCCCTAGCACCTCCGGGATGTACTATCCTTCGTATGATATCAACGCGTCCAGCCAGTCTCCGTCGCCATTGACGGTCCACCCCCATGCGGCCGAGGCGCATTTCGACATGGCTCCTTACATGGGGCAATCCCCCCATCCCTCACCCAAGGACGAGGTGCCGCCTCCAATCAACCAGTACCTGGGTCACTACACCGTCTCTGGCAACTGTAACGAATCCGGCGTGGCCAACTCCTTCAGTGAATACCCCGATTTCAACGACGTCGACTCTGGATACCTGGCTCGGGCGCCGGGGCAGATGCAGGTCAGCGCATCGCAGCTACATCGACACATGGTGGTCACATCTGCCGCACAAGCCCCGACCCTGACCCAGCCGCACTCTTCGCAACTCAGGCCGCAAGCCGGTGGGATAGAGGACCTCCGGGATCCTGGAATGCTCGCTCATGGACTCCCTGGTCCAGGCGGCTTCCAGTCGCGCATTTCGGACAGTCCTGGCCGGCGACAGCCGCAGCGGAAACAAAAGCTGCCACAGCGCCGGGCTCCGCGTAACTCCCGACAGCAGCAAAACCAGGCGCAGCTGGCAGAGGCCGCCCAACAGGCAGACCAAACCCCCCCGGACGAGAGCGAATGCGAACCCCTGAAGTTGAACGATAAAGCTCCCGTCGAAGATAGATTTCTCTTCGAGCTTCGTCAGAAGTACATCGGGGAGAAAGGAAAGGGCATGTGGGAAGACATTTCTGCCGAGTATGCTGCGAAATACCAGCCCATGGAGAAAGCAGCCCTCCAGATGAAGATCTCACGGGCGGTAGCTAAATACGGCGAATGGCCCCCGACGGAGGTGAGTTTAGAAAACCATTGCGCGCTGATCATACATGAGAGTAACTTAGCTGATGCATGCTTCCGCAGATCAACGCACTCATAGATGCCTTCAAAAAGGACGAGGCGGCTCGGTATGATCGCCTTCTCGAGGCTATGAAGAAGCTTGGGGGCGGCAGGGTTTGGGACTGGCGACCCCAACACATCGAGGCCAAGCTAGTCACCCTCGGTTACGAGGAGCAAAATGTCGACGAGCGGACCAACTCACGCCGCCGGAGGCGTGCTGTTCAACGTCGGCGAACCAACTCTCAGAACCAACAGACCCCGACTATCCTAGGCGAATGGACTAATGGCCTCGGGCTGCATTCTGTCCTGAACACACCGCAAGGCTACGCTCTAGCGCACCACCCTACTTCGCATGATCTTGCGAACCCCCACGACCACATGGCTCCGAACTACACGGAAGAGCAGAATGACAAGTTGCTGGACGACATCTTCAAGACATCTATCAAGGCGGATCCCGACACCGCCTCTAGCCCGGATGCGATGGAAATAACCTACGAGGCGAACGGGAACAGAGCAAACGCCCAGCCAACAAAAGCCAGGTTCGACCACAACCATCAAATAGCTCGACAAGCCTGCGAACAGACCGCCCGGCCGCCGTTGCGCAGGTAACGGGACAGGGTCGCGGATTTGTCACTGGGGAGGGAGCAGGGAAAGACAGATATAATGCTCACGCAAACATCTTTCTAGGGTTCGTTGTTCTTGGATGATCTAGGGTTTCTTCTCATACTCTACAAACCTGTTTCTCGGCGCATGGTTCACACGAAATAGTTCAAAACTAGGATTCGTTGGGTTTGGGTCTTGGGGTATATCAGTCTGGTTTCGTTGCCTATAGAGTATTTCCTTTTCCTTGGATTTCGTCCCTTCTCACATGCTTCCCTATCCTTCGTTTGAGATATCACGTCTTTCACTTTTGGAGGCCTGGGTGCCTGCTTTTGTATGTACAACTAAGTTGACATGGCTGGGACAATGTCTATTATCTGGCACGATTGTATCTCGTGATGCCTCCCTACTCTCCTCGATTTGAGGGGCGAGAGCTTTCCAGGTAACTGGCCCCCAAACCTGCTATGGAGGGAAGGGCAGGGGGCAAGAGTCTACAATTACGACCAACATGTCCACCCCCCTACCCCCCGTTGCACCGTTGCCTGTCCTCTGCCTCCAGCACCGCCACATCGCGATATGACCCTGCATGCTGACCGGCCCTTCTAGCGCGTGAAGTGAGCTCACGAAGGGTAATAAGGGGGAGGGGGGGTGGGGGGGGAGCCGTTGGAACTAGTCAAGAGAACTGCCGTGTTAGCACGTGAAAGCACCCGTGACGAAGACCCTTCAGCAGGTAGCCGCCCCTCCCCCCCAAGGGTTGCGATCTGGATATAGCGGCGGCGGCTCCAACGCCAACGAATCGAAGCGCTAGAAACGAACTAGACACACCAGCTACGCTAGGTAGCCTGAGAAACGGCCGTTAGCTGGTTGGATGGGAAGGAGGGACGTTAGGGCTACAACGGACAAGGCGAAGGGGCGCTATGAACCGCTGTGGGGTGGTAGAGTTAAACGGAGGGGGTGCCGCATAGGTTTCGGCCGTTGCGTTTGGTCCCTGCCTCCACCGTGCCCCAGAAGGGGTGACCGATCGGGCTGAGACAGTGCGTATCGTCTCCGACTGGACGGGAAATGAGACGGGGTGACCCTGTTTCTTTGACACCATCCCCCTTCCTCCTCCCGACCACCCCCCTCCAGCTCCTACGTATGTGAGTCGTAATAGCGAACGGCACTTGCGACAGAATCGGTGGTTGCGTTAGGTCCTTTCGGCTAGCCCTGTGACCTAAAGGCATGGGGTAACGGCGACTCGTAAAGCTGTCAAAAGCTGTCAATGGGGGGATCATCAGGGAGCTTGTCGTCCAGGGAACCAGGGTTCTGTCATGACCGACAACGGGGCAACCCTACCCACTTTATTTTGAAGCCAATTACACCTTCTTCTACCTTGCTGTACAGTACGTTCGTCTTGGACGGGGAACGGCAGATGCCGCCCCTGGTCTAGACTTTGAAGCTGAGCTCTCGTATCTCTCCCCCCTTGCTACCCCGTCAGCTGCGTTCCTTGGCCCTGTGAAACATGCACCCCACCACCAGACCAAACGGCAAATAGGGTTTTATGCTCACAGATTGAAACGCGCATACGTCCCAGTGGCCTAAATTCAAACCCAATTGATCCGAGATTCCGTTGTCCTTTGTCCTTCCACATATTACATGGCAATCTGGAGCCAGGCCAGTCGCATAGGGCGAAAGCACACCTCTTGGAACGCGCCGTCCCTCACCGACAGCTTGGTTCCCTGGAAATTATTGATGCTCCTCGTAAATTGAGGCACACGGCGGCGGCATGCATTCGCATGTTCCCAGGAAATGGCCCGCGGGGAGACAATTACAAAACCATACGAAAGTAGTATAGGAGGGGGAGGGAGGGGAGCCGCCCTTTGAAAAAATGACGCGGCTTGCGCATGATTGGATTCGGAGCCAGGCATCGACAACTTGGCAATCCCGCTCGTCTTCTCACCGAAGCAACTGACTGACTGACATGCGGGAATCTCCGTCACGCAGCAGTTACGTGGGGCGTGATTTATCCCCCTCCCCCCTCCTCCTCCTCTCTTGCCGGCGAGAATGAAGCTGGTGGGAATGAAGCAATCTGCGTTTTCGAAAGCAGGCTATTGACTCTAGGCTTAACCAGACTGTCGGGTCTATATACGAGATCAAGTATAGTGGCGCCTGAGCTGGCATGAGCACCCGACCTGTTAGATCAGAACACTATAATGCAGAGATCTGCAGAGACACATCGGTCCCGAAAGGGGCCAAGACTGGACGGAGGAGACATGACGATGATCGGCAGCTGTAAAGCTGCCAACAGAGCGTTGTGCCGTTGAGAGACCCCCGCCCCTAAACTGATGTCGAATCTTATCGGTGGCTGGAACAGCCCGACTGGATTGGACGGGCAAAAGTAAGAACGCCGCTGGATCTGCCACTATCGAGCAAACAAAAAAGGCGGAGAGAACACTAGCGGAAGGCTGGAAGCTGAACGATGGCCTGAAGTTTACCGCCAACTCCAGATCAGTGTTGGCCAGCCTCTCTCCCTTGACCAGGTCCCTGCAATCCCCACACATTGGCGTGGCACGCCGTTCGTTCTAGTTCAAAATAGAGTTGAAGTGAAAAGAGATCTGGCCAGAAGGGCGATCGATTGGGTTTAAGGGACCACGCTTTCGGCATCTCCTATCGATGAATGTATGTACATTTGTCCAACTTAGCGTCCAACAAGGATCGCGGAGAGTTCCGATCCCCCGAGAATGCCCTTGAGTAATGGAAAGTGCTGACTGGCCATCGAACCGCAGAGGCATATCTTGTGACGCGAGTACCTCTTTTACCGCTTTCGTCACCTACACCTCGCCCAGGGCCGGTAGGAATGGGATAGGATAGGATAGCCTAAGGAACGCCACCCTTGAGGGGCAAACATCGGCCTTTGCTCTTTTGAAACGGACGTGCATCTCAGATACGGCCAATCCTGGTTCAGCCCTGAGGGTAAAACCAATAAAGTTTAAGTTGCACATACCAAGGGTCCATGCCTAGGATTGCTGCTGATCTATAGGATAAGCTTCAGATCTTCGTGATGTAAGGCGATGTAGTGTGCGAAGAAAGGAAAAGAGTCTTAGATGGAACAGGCTGGGCCTAGTTACTTAGGTAGTTCATCCCATATTGAGACTTGGTCTGTACCAGGTACAGAGTGCGTCGAACCATTGTACTTGCGAGAGTGCCATATACTTCCTGTTCATCCAAGGAATGGTCGTGGCAACTTGCGACGAGCTAGGGACGAGTGGAACAAAGAAATAGGCTCCCGGTCCCGAGACTAGTGAGTTCGCGCTGGCGCTATATCTTAAGGTAAAGCCTGAATGGCTGACGGTGCGATATGTGACCATCACATAGCTCAACGAGCCATAGCTCAACGACCTTCAAGCCACCTGTCTCACTAGAGTCAAGTTGACAGGCCAATTGCTATAGGTTCAATCTCAAATTGACGGAAGCAGAACGTCACACAAGACGAGGGGCTCTTCCTGTCTACAGCAGGGAACCCATGACCAGCGCCCAATCTCCCCGTGCTCTGTTCTCTGCAAAGTGGGCACTCCGCCCAGCATTGAAGCAATGGACTAGCCCAAATCTGTTATGTGAAAGCGAGAGAGGCCATGGAGAGTGTGTTGTTGACAGCGATGGACCTGCCCAGTGGAACACACAGGTACGATTGTATCTCTGAGGTGAAGGTCATCAAGAGCGGTGAGATTGGCCACTGGATGCCTCTACATGGTGCAGTGGGATGGAAATGGATGTCAATTCCCCACCCCGCAGGTACATAGGTACCCAGGTACCTAGGTATGGCCCCACCTCTCAGCCTCAATGTCTCGCACACCCCAGAGACGCTTGTGACAAAAACGCCACATTTCAATGTGGCTTCCACCGGACGGCGTGGAAAGAGGACAAGCTGGAAGCAAACATCGCAAACTAATCCAGATGAGAGCTAGAACCACACGCAAAGGTTCACCTCAAAGCTCCAATTCCTCCTGACCTTGCCCTCCCCCGCCCCTAGACACATGCAGTCTTCGATTTTTAGGTTCAGGTGATCCATGGATGCCTCCGCTAGCCATGGGCCGTTGCTCATCGGTTGGTGATGGCTCCGGGCGCACATCGAGCAATGCTCGGCGTGCGTCAATTCTCCGCGGAGTGGCGCCCAGTCTCGCCGCGCGGTGGTGGCTTCTTGTGGCGACTCTCCTGCTGCAGCTATGGGCCGGCCAGGGCTTGGCGATGCGGACCGACCGGATCGCTCAGCTGCGGCAGGAGACGGTCGATATGTTCTATCATGGCTTCGACAATTATATGAAGATAGCGTTCCCCGAGGACGAAGTACGTGTTGTCATCCGTCTTAACCCCTCTAATCCTCCAATCAACGCACGCCCTTCACACACTGACATACTGCCCCTTCTAGCTGCGCCCTGTCTCCTGTACTCCTTTGACCCGAGACTCTCAGAACCCAAGGAATGTGGAGGTCAACGATGTTCTAGGCAACTACTCCCTCACCCTCATCGACAGCCTCTCCACCCTAGCCATCCTTGCATCCGCGCCTCCCGATAGTCGCAATACCGGGCCCAAGGCCCTGCGGGACTTTCAGAGTGGCGTGGCCGCCTTGGTACAGCAGTATGGAGACGGCCGCCCTGGCCCTTCTGGCCAAGGCCTGCGAGAGAGGGGGTTCGATGTCGACAGCAAGGTGCAAGTCTTCGAGACCGTGATTCGTGGGGTTGGAGGGCTTCTGAGTGCCCATCTGTTTGCCATTGGCGAACTGCCAATTACAGGCTATGATCCTCGCCGCCACACCGATGAGCCCCTGGATGTTCACCCCATTGCCTGGCCCAATGGCTTCAAATACGATGGGCAAATGCTTCGTCTGGCCCTGGACCTGGCGCAGCGCCTTCTCCCTGCCTTCTACACCACGACGGGAATGCCCTATCCCCGAGTCAACCTCCGCCATGGCATCCCTTTCTACGTCAACTCGCCCCTGCATGGCCTGTCTGGAACACCAGGCGGCATCGAGGGTCCGCCCGAGATCACCGAGACATGCAGTGCTGGCGCGGGGTCCCTGGTGCTCGAGTTTACTGTCCTGAGCCGACTCACAGGAGACCCCAGGTTTGAGCAGCTTGCCAAGCGAGCATTCTGGGCCGTCTGGGAGAGGAAGAGCCGAATAGGTCTCATCGGCGCCGGAGTCGATGCCGAGGATGGGCACTGGATAGGAGCCTACTCTGTGATCGGCGCCGGCGCTGATAGCTTCTTCGAGTATGCTTTGAAGACGCACATCTTGCTTTCTGGCCATGAGCTGCCAAACCGTACATGGACCCGGGCTGGTAGGAATGACAACTGGCTTGACCCTAACTCCATCTACCCTCCCCTGAGTGACGACGATAACTCGCCGGACTCGTTCTTAGAAGCGTGGCATCATGCCCACGCCGCCATAAAGCGTCACCTCTACAATGAGAGGGACCACCCGCATTATATCAACGTCAACCTCTGGACGGGTTCCTTCGCGTCGAATTGGATTGATAGCCTCGGCGCGTACTATTCTGGCCTACTCTCGTTGGCCGGTGAGCTTGATGAAGCCATAGAGACGAACCTCCTGTACACTGCTATCTGGACCAAGTACTCGGCTCTCCCCGAACGATGGTCTCTTAAGGATAAGACTGTCGAAGGGGGGCTCGGCTGGTGGCCGCTGCGCCCCGAGTTCATTGAGTCTGTATACCACCTATATCGCGCCACGAAAGACCCATGGTATCTCTACGTTGGCGAGATGGTGTTGCGGGACATCACGAGGCGGTGCTGGACACCCTGCGGGTGGGCCGGCCTTCAGAATGTCCTCGACGGCGAGAAGAGCGACCGGATGGAGAGCTTCTTCCTCGGCGAGACCGCCAAGTACATGTACTTGCTCTTCGACGATGCTCATCCGCTGAACTCCCTCGACGCAGCTTATGTCTTCACAACGGAAGGCCATCCGCTTCTCATTCCCCGCCAGAGGCCCAGCAAGAAGAAGAAGCCTCATCGAACCTCCAAGACAAAAGAGGTCAACACCTTCGACAGCAATGACTTTACCATCACCTGCCCAATCCCCCCCAAGCTATTACCTTTTACTGGTTCTGCCACAGCCGCGAGGCCTGACATCTACCACGCTGCACGACTCCTTGATTTGCATTTGATACCCCGCTTCGATCCCAAACTCCCAGCTGCCTCAGCTCCAGGCCAGCGGGTGGCTAGAGCTAATCACACATTCTTCCCCTGGACTCTACCTACCGACCTGTTGCCTAGCAATGGCACATGCTCCAAGGTCTATCAGCCGGTTGAGGTTACGTTGGAATTCGCCTCCAACTCTCAGCCCGTTGCCGGGGGGAGCGCCTTTAACTTCATGCTCTCGACGCAGAACATGGAGCGCCTTAGTGCAAACCGAATCCGGGTCTCTAGCCTGTCGGGTCTGAAGGTGACCATGAGACAGGAAGAAGGCGGCGAGTCTGAGTGGCGCGTCACCAAAGTCAACGGGGTCTCCCTCGGACGGGACGAGTCCGTCATCATGGAGAAGGCCATCATTGGGGATGTCTCAGACCCGAGATTCAACATCGTTCGGGATCCGGTACTCGTCAAGCTGCAACATCTCCATCGCTTCGAGGTGTCGAGGGACACGGGCCGCGCTTCAGGTGTGCGCACCGACGAAGGGGACGACGATGAGATGCGGTTCCATGACCACTCCAACCTCCTCGAAGCCATCGAGGAAGCAAATGACTCGACCAGTTCCCGCGTCGCCGACCTCGGTGCTCGCGTAAAGTCGCTCCTCAACCGCATGGCAGCCTCCCTGGACATGCAGCTCCCGGCCCCCGCGACCCCGCTCCCGGGGTATTCCAAGGACCCACTCATGTACAACCTCGTCATCAACCAGACGGCCGTGACGCCGACCGGGCCCGGCGCCGCCCCACTGCCGGACGTCGACGTGCCCGCGGCGGGGATCCACGTCCCCGCCGTCGGCGACGTGCCCGCGGGCCTCTTCCCCTGGGCCACCGTGTTCGCCGCCGGCGACGCCTGCGGGGCACCCCTCCCCGAGGACGCGGCCCGCGACCACCACGTCATCGTCATCCGCCGGGGCGGGTGCAGCTTCAGCGCCAAGCTGGCAAACATACCCGCGCACCCGCCCTCGGCCCGGTCGCTCCAGCTCGTCGTCGTCGTGTCGGACGACGACGACGAGGACAGGGACGAGGACGGGGACGAGGGAGCCGGCGGCGGCGGCGGCGGCGGCGGCGTGGGGTGGACGCGACCGCTGCTGGGGGAGGCGCAGCGCACGCCGCGGGGCGTCGAGAGGAGGAACCCCATCCCCATGGTCATGGTCGGCGGCGGCGGGGTCGCCTACCGCCAGCTGGCCGCGGCGGAGCGGGTGGGCATGGCGCGGAGGTACTACGTCGAGAGCCAGGGGCTGAGGGTGAGGAACCTCGTCGTCGATGACGGGGATGCGGGTACGGATGCCTAGTCCGGGGCAGCAGCAACGGGGGCTTTTTATTCTAGTTTTTATTTTTTATTTTGTTACCGTTGTACATAAGAGCTTGGGAGGGAGAGAGGGTGTTTTAAAATAAGTCGCGTGGTTTGAGTGATGTCGGTGGTGATACCCGAGTTGGGGGAAGTGGACGGGGTTGGAAATGGCACCGGCCGCATCAACCCGGAAATGGGGGCATGTTGAAAATTCCGGGCATCGTCATTGTGTGTTGTATCTACCGATGCAGGATTCCGATATGTCTAGCAGGCGTGGTATACTAGCAGGCGAGGTATAGACGAGACGGGACGAGACGGGACGTGAATCGAAGCTGTTCGTTTCGCCAATGTTGAATTCTATTAAGAGGAGTTTGTTCTCCCGCCCCCAAACGGTATATCGTACCGACCGACCGACCGGCCGACCTCTTCCCGCCTGTGGGACAGACACCTGCCCCGTCTTGTCCGACACAGGTGGCTGTAAGCCAAGTCTATAATGCTGCCAGTCTCCGCCTCGTATCGCGGTTGAAACGCTTCACACGGCCCGTTTTTGTTTGAAAAACCGCAACGCCGTACTGTGCAACTAGCATGCCCCTCAAATTCCGGCCGGCATGCAGCAAAATGATATGGTGAGATCCCCTCCAAGCAGACACCTGCCGGCCGGATATTATTAGACCCTTGCCCACTAGGCCGCCTGCGCGTCGCACGACAGCCAGAGTGGGTAATCTTTGCTAAACCTCATGTCTGCCCAACCCGAACCTCATTCATTACAGTGTGCCCCAGTGATGCGGTAGACTGGCGAGATATGATAGGAAGAAAAGAGAAGAAGAAAAAGGAAAAACGAGACCAGGACCATAACGCAGTTGGTATTAGAACTTTCAGCGTGCCGGGGCTGACGTAGGGGTGAGTGACATCCCGCTCGTTCAGGTCTGCGTCGGGCGAGATAGATGAATCGATGGCAGGCAAACTTAGGAATCGGTTTCTAGGAGTGTGACGGTTGGTAATCCGCCGAGCTTCTCCCTGCCCTTAAGGAAGGGGATCTCTAGGATGAAGAGATAGCCCATCAGGTCGCCTCCCAGCTGCTTCACCAGCGATCCGGCAGCGGCCGCCGATCCACCTGTTGGCTGGTGTCAGCAATCAAATTCATGACAAGGTGTCCGTGAGATCCGGCAGTGAGGGGAAAAGGCAAGTGAAGCGAAAATGATCCGCAACCTGAGGAAATCATCCCGCAGCTAGCGGGATGGTATTCTTGTGGTCCGGCACGGAATTGAGCCGCAGCCACCTGGCCCGGAAATAAAGTTTTTCTTGGCAAAACGAGATTCTGCAAGCCACTGTCTTACCTGTAGCAATGATATCGTCCACAACCAGCACTTTCTGCCCGGGTTTGATGGCGCCCTCCTGCATCTGGAAGAAGTCTGCACCATATTCCTTCTCGTAGGTGGCCGTCACGCAAGGACCAGGTAGCTTGCCCTGCTTGCGAACGGGGACGAAGCTGGCATCGAACTGGAGGGCGAGTGAAGGGCCAAAGAGAAAGCCTCTCGCGTCCAGGCCCACAATGACATCTGGCTTGGTGACAGTAGTATTGTCGCTAGACAACCCAAACTCTTGGACCTGAAGCTTGAGGGCCCGCAGCAGAGAAGCGTGAATGGTGGGGTCCTGGAAGAGTGGCATGATGTCGATAAAGTTGATACCAGGGATGGGGAAATCAGGGAAGCTACGGAGGGCTCCCAGCAGGCTTATCTTTGTACTGGCGAGTTCGGAGGCGGAGGCGGCGGGGGCGGAGGACTGTTGTCGCGGGGCATCTTGACCGCTGGTGGTGGTGGTGTGGTTGCTAGGTGTACTGCTGGTAGGAATTGCTGTCGAGGGGTTAACGGCCGAGGTCTCTGAGCTGGTCGAGGCAAACGGCTGTCGGGGGTCGGAGGTTGAGGTCATGTTGGGGAGAAAGTTAGATGAGGAGGAGGAAGGGCGGGCAGCAGGCAAAAAGAGATGTTCGTATCTCCAGCAGGGGGGGTGAGAATTGGTACCACAGCCAATCTCAGTCTGAGGGTGTGCGGGTACGAAAGGCTAGGTGTATGCTGTGCAAGTGAGTAAATCCTGAGAATGAGGAGATTGGACAGAATAGAGTAAGACAGGAAACGTCAAAGCCGGTTGCCGGTGGACACAGTGCTGAAGAGAGGCCAGAGAAAAAAGGGAAGAAACTGAAAAAGAAAAAGAAAAGTGAGGCAGTAAACGCAATTGGACCCGGCCTTAAAGAGTCAGAGGAGCTAGTCGGTGGGTGGAGTGAGGGAGAATAGCGTATCCCGCACACGCAGTTTGGCCTGAGAAAATACAGCAGAACTTGCATACGTAGTACGGAATAGTACCAATGTAGATAGATAGATTAAGAAATCTGATAAGGCCCTTAACCTCCAACTTGGGAACTAGCCTTTCCACACCACCTTGTCTAAGGAGATAGAGGTGGAAAACGCTAGCCGACAGATACTGTCTATCATGACAGCCCAAGCTATCTACATTGCACCCCCAAAAAGAGAGAGGAAGTTCATTGGGGTTCTGAATGGCGCCTCCCATCTAGAGATTCCAGACAGGGCAGGTGGGGTGACGGGAAGGTGGAATGGAAACAACCCCACCATTCTTGGCACAGTCCCCACCAGTCGGGCTGAAAAAAATTATTGCCCACAGACCCTTTGCTAGAGCGGGTACATTGGATGTTCATGTTTGTCGAGGGCTGAAATATTCAAAGTTCCATGTTAAGTCAAACCACCATCCCCTAGGACCCGGTATGGGGTTAGATTCCTGTATGAGTCAAGCACAGCTGCTGCACAAGGCGGTCAAGTCGTCCATCACATCTTATTATGTTCTTCCCCTATTCTTCCCGCCTCGTTTGGGTCTCTTTTTGACCGGGACGGGATATCAAAGCATATCAGCCAATCAACCCCCCACAACTGAGGGCATGGTGGTAACGGTTATTCATCCAGTTCCACGACAGCTCCTTGTTGCCTACCAAAGTACATCATCTCTGAGATGGCTACCACCCTTGCTCAGTTTCCTCTTGCCTGTCTCTACCCCAACCGAAACAAGTCCTGTCAGACACGGACTACCTCTCACATTCTCCCCCTTGGCCGATGGCCGGCCATTGCGCCCCTGCTCTTTTGTCAGTAAAATGTGCCCCACACTAGCCGCCAAGAGCAGTCATGCAAGACTGTACCTATATAAATGTGGACATTGACAGTCATGATCACCTCATTGTTCATTATTGACTATAACGACTATTGCGTTTGCCTTCCCGGTTAGGGAAGTCCCTGGCTGGCCTTGTGCAATTTCCTCGAGCACTGGCTGGGCCCCAGGGCCCCAGAGCAATGTGGTTCCAGGCATGGTGCAATCACCCTTTTCCATTAGCAAGAACCTGCCTATCGGAGCCAAGTCACACAGCACCCACTACTGTCGCTCCTTGGGTAAGCCTCACACACCTACATGTCTTTGGAAATAACCTCGGCATGCAGGTTTCTGCGCTGCATAGGCAGCAGCCCTGGCTGAATGCTGTAAGGCTGCCTGGATGCCAGGTTCCCCCAAAATCCTATCAGGATGATGGGGGCGCACTTCCAAGTTGTCCACCTGCAGCTATTCATTGGCTGTGTACCCCACGGGCACACCATCTATTAAGAGCATACCTCAATATCATGGCTCACCAAATGGCTGCCAATTAGCTACTCTCAAATCTGTGGATGAGGGCCGAAGCAAGCGTCGCAGCAACCACCTTCTCGACGAGTTGTCTGGTAACGACCATAGCCTTGGCTCGAGGTCGATACTCGCCTGGCGCTCGTAAAACCACTCTAGCCTGGAACTTCAGAGTCTTTTAACTCAACAATCCCACCCTAGCATTTCTTTCCAACTGGCCTCGGCGTCATCGTCACATGCCAAGTCACCTGGGCAGCCAGAGACGGACATTCCGCTTTCGAGTTCTCTCGCATTAGTGTCTCCCCAAAACTGCCTCATGCTCGCTTCGGAATTGATCCAGGGAGCCGCTACAAGGCATCGGTTCCTTTTCCACAGAGTCAGTTCTCGGCCTCAGTCAATCTATTGCTTGTTCTAGACCAACTTCGGCCTCCGTCCTCTGTCCTCTGGTGGAGGCTAGGCTAGCAGCTTCATAAGGAGTCGAGGAACGTTTCCCGCCTTCGCTTGCCGTCTCTGCATCGCCTAGCAAAGCCATGAAGCGCGGCTAACCTGCTGTTGGGCTCAGGGACTGCCGGACGGACAATGGGGAGTACCTTCATACGAGGCTACAACAAGGTACTTGTTCTCATTGCCTGGACGTGAACCCTAATGTACCTCTAGGTCAAGCTCCCGAGGGTGAGGTTGCCCGTCTTTTTGCCTGCTAGTATAGTAGTCTCTTGACTCGCCCACCATCTGTGGATGGTGTTGCACAGCGCAGGCCTGACCCGAAGTGGCAGTTTTCTGCCTCCACTGGCGTGACCCCAGCACCGGGAACGGGACTGCATCATGCAGCAGGCCGTATGAGCGCCGTTGAACAATCTGGAGTTGCATCCTTCCCGTGCCGGCAAATGGTGTGTCACCGTGGCTGCCTCCCACCGAGGAAATTACTGTGACGCATCCCCGGAAAACTTTCCGAAACCGCCTGTTGAACAACAGTGAGTCAGCCTCCCTGAGCATGTGTTGTTGCACGAATATCCAGAAGACCGCGGGGGGCGTGGTTAGTGATGGAAGGGGGAAAAAAAGAATAGGCTCCCCCTGTATGTGTGCAGGCGGAATAAACCACACCTAATTACGGTCAATTACTTTACTGTCTATAAAATCTTGTCGAAATGGGTATCAATGCTGTCCAATCCAGTGTCTCGGCATGCTTCATGCAGAGTGAATGCAAATATCGGTCCCCCTTAAAAAAAGAAAAAAAAAGGAGGCCTCTCTCCTCGTATTAATCCACATCCGGCGCATCTCAATATTCAAATTTTGATTGAGGCGACGGATTCCACCACAGCAACCTTCGTCGGCCTGATTTTGTCCGGCCCGTGCCGCAGGCGAACAGCAACTGGCATCGGGCCGTTGGCAGCGTACCGGTCCGAATGGCCAAAACAGGATCACATCTGTAGGCCACACACCGAGGTAATATAACTGCCTCCCCCCCTTTCCGGAGAATACCTCTCTTGTCCCGTCTCGCTTGCAGGTCCGCTGCTTCATGTCAGGCGAGGATCCTGTAAGGAACCCCCTTCCCACCCCCACCCCCCGGGCCCGCTTTTTTCCCCAGAAGGACCCCTAGGGTGGCGGCAACTCCCACTCGCTCACCGAAACTGCAGCCGGATGATGGAGAAGAGCATGTTCTGCAGCACGTGCAGCATGACGGCCACGCTAGTGGGGAGCAGCTCTGGCCAGACGACGAGGTCGAGCTTCCCCTCGGTGACGACGCTGACGCCGAAGATCCAGCGGATCAGGCCGGCGACGATGAAGCTTGCGACGAGCTCGCACGCCCAGGTGATGGAAGAGGCCCAGAAGGTCAGGCGGAAGTTGTACACGTCGTCGCGGCCGGGGCCGGCACCGCCGGCGGCCTCGTCGTCGAAGGCGAAGTAGGGGTAGACGTCCTTGTTGGGGCCAAAGTGCAGCACGACGACGCTGCCGAGGAAGGCCAGCATGCTGGCGTTCTCGGCCAGGAAGCGGATGAAGACGTTGCGGACGGCCATCTTCTGGTACGCCGCGTAGCTCTGGCCGTTGATGCCGACGGCCGACAGGAACCAGTGGAAGGGCGCCGACATGAGGCACGGCGTGACGATGATCAGGCCTGTGCTCGAGAGCACCTGGAGCAGCACGAACTGCGAGGGGCTGCGGAGGCGCGCGTACAGGGCGCGGACGTAGGTCTGGTAGGTGAGCATGAAATAGCTGCCGGGAGGGGTTAGCAAGGGATAATCCGGGGAAAAAGAACGGGGATGGAAAAAGCTCACAGTTTGAATACAAAGCCCAGAGGATAGCTTCCCACCCTCTCCCCCTCGTTGCCGCCCAGGATCCACCCCGTCAACCCGTCGAGCAAGTACACCGTCAGGATCCATCCATAAACGTACACGATCGTTTCGAGATTGTTGTGCGGCAACGTCCGGAGGTAGATCTCGGCGTAGGCCTCTCCGATGACGTACGCGAGCAAGCCGATCAGCAGTGCCAGGCAGAACCAGACGAAGCGCACGAAGCTCGCCGGCAGCCACCGCCGCCGCATCCTGACGGGCCGGGAGGCGGGCCGGGCGTCGTTGTCGAGGGTTACCTCGAGGGAGTCGAGGTCCGGATCGAACGAGCTGTTGGCGAGGCCGGCTAGACGCCGGGACTCTCGGCGTGAAAGCGTGTTATCGGGCTCGCCGGTCCACCACGACGATGTGAAGATGCGCTGTGTCTCGGACAGGCTGTGCCGCAGGCCGAGGTGCCGCTCGTTGGTCATGAGGATGAAGAAGGCGATGGCTACGGGCATGGCCATGATGATGAAGGTCCATGTGATCCAGGCGGTGTTGTGCACGGTCAGGAACTTGCTCTGCGGGACGAGGTAGATGGGGATGGGGGCGGCGAGCGATAGGGTAGCTATCGCGGAGACCGTTACGGGAAACCCCAGCGACTGCGGCCACCAGTTGAGGCTGTAGAGGTTGAAGACTTTGGTGATCCATATCAAGGCGGTCACATTATAGAAGCCGTAGTACACGAAGAGAAAGAACCAGAAGTTCACCTGCACCCTCGCCTCTCCGTGTCCGGGTGCTTTATGTCCCTTATTTTGTCCCGGCTCGCTCGGCGCATGGTCATCGCCGTCATCGCTGGGAAGTGGATATTGCGGGAATGGGAGCGCACACCATGCAACAGCCTGTCATGATCCAATGTCAGCTACCAAGGGTTCAGAGGCATGATGGCGTTCACCGACTGGTTCCCGGGACTTACAAGGAAAGCAGGAAGAACCACCAGAACCGTCCAGCGGCTCCACCACATATCGACAACCCTCTTCACGGCGCTCGCGCGAGGCGTCACCCACGTATCCTCCATCCTACGTGCCAACCTCCGGCACCGCCATAGTAGGCGCTCAAGACAGCTTTTCTCATAGTACACGTCGGTCCCAGGACCTAGACCGTCATAATCTCCCTCGTCCTCCTCTTCTTCCTCGTCCTCTTCCAGCTCGGTGGCTAGCAGTGTCCCGTAGCCGACGTGCACGCTGCCACGCCATCCGGACGACAGCAGGCCCCGACGGGCCTGGCTGCTGGTTCCGGATCGACGAGGGCTCGGGTGCTCGGGTGGCGGCACGGCGCGGAAGCGGCCTAGTAGGGGGGACGCATCGGCGGTGTAGCGCAGGTTCGAGGTCTCGGAGCCCTGCTGGAAGGAGAAGAAGGTGGGCATCACTGCGTCAGGCTATCTTCTTTTTTTTCTAAACTGAAAAAGAAGGAAAAGACGGCTGAGTCGCGCGATCACCAAGGCCTGTGGCTCCCTAGCTCGGGTCAGCTCTGCATTGCTTCGCGAGGGTGACTGTCCTTGGCACGGTCGAGGCCACGCGGTCGAGGATGCTTGATGGTGATGATCAGAGCACGTGTGGGAGACTGTCAGTTTCGGGTTCCTGGATATCGGGTTGGGTCATGACTAGGCGGTGCAGCTGCCGCTTTTAGCGTCTCTGAAAACCCCCTCCCCCCCCCCCCCCCAGCTGCAGATATAAGGTACGCGGAACTTCAGAACCCTGCTTACAGCCGAACAGCACCAGCCACAGCCGCTAACCAACCTAGAACCGTCACGTGCTGGTCTTAGTCCCAACCAAAGCTCGCCGCCACACCAACATAATTATCACCTACTCATTACGGCTCTTCGATAACTAGCAGTCAACATGGCACCCACCACTTCCACCCTCCTCTGGGGTGGACGCTTCACCGGTAATGAGATCCCTGCAACCACTATTATGGTCCAATGGCAAGGAATTCTAGCTGACAGCTACGCTGGCAATGTATAGGGGGAATGGATGAGTTGATGAAGTTCAATGAGTCACTCTCCTTGACAAAGTCCTGTACAAAGCCGATATTCAGGGATCTGTGACTTTGATTACTACCTAGAGGTACCCAAGAAGTAGCTCTTCGTGGAGTCTGCCATGTATTCCGTATTGTTGTACAAGTTCTATCTCGCCTACCAGCCTCTAGCCCATGAAGCTGGGCCCTGTCATTCCCGTTGAAACGCCCCCACCCCTAATGCAATGCGCTCCTTAATCAGCATCCCCTCCCAGCTCATCTTCCTCCTCTTCATAAACTTCGGATTCCGAGTCGCTTGACGACTCTGGGCTAATATCTTCCGTTTCCGCGAGCAAATCCGCGGTGCCTTCCCCCGGTATACCCACAAGAACCTCGGAGCCTAGTACTTGGTCATCCGCAGGCTCTACCTCCACGACCTCATCCGCAAATCCAACCGTCTTCGCTGTTGGCGACTTGTTTGATGGCTCGAGCACATCCCCGCTCCACGGTTTGCATTCCTTGACGAGCTCGCCGCAGCGGAGACAGGTCCATCCCTCGCCTTCCTCCCTTTCTATCCGGGTGGCGAGGCAGACGAAGCAGTAGATGCACCTGCAAGGTATGGTTTCGTAAGGGTTCGTTATGTCCGTCTGGGCCGAGCCGGCAACACCGCTCGCCGCTGCGGCCGCCAATATCTCGCCCTCGGTCGTGGCAGAATTCTGGTCTTGATAGCAGATGGCACAGGTCCTCTCGGGAAGAAAGGCAAATTCGCCCGTCTTCTCGTTGGTGGCGCCCTCCCCCTTCGTATTGATAATGTCCTTCGTCTTCTTCCAGGTCCGGCTAAGCCACCTCCGCCACCTGTTGATCCCAACTAGTGGCAGCACGAAGAGAAGGAACTCTGTGAACGCGTGCCAGACTAGCTGTCGGTTTAGATATTCGAATGACACTTCGCGGCTGACCTGGCTGGTCGGAGGAGCAAGCCTCATCCGCAATATCCTATCCAGTAGTGTCCGATACCGCCCATGGAGGAGGAAGGCGAGAAAGGAGGCAAGCGCAGCCGCTGCGTGCACCGTGGATGCCGTTGAGGTAAGTCGCGACAGCCGCTGCACTCTCGGACTCCGTTGGTCGTAGCCGTCGTCGTGGTCCAGTAACCAGTCCTCCCACTTCCTCCACACGTATTTACCCCCGACCGTCACCAGTCCGTAGAGCGACTTCTGCCACTTGCTCGGCGCGACTAGCACCGGCCCGGCCCGCCTTGCGTCGGTGTATTTCAGGTTCTGCAGCGCCGCGCCGTACGTCGCGTCGTGGTCCCACACCGTCAGCTTGAAGAGCACGCCCCTGAGCAGGAGCAGGATCTCGGGCTCCCAGTCATCCTTGAGGGTACCGCCGTGGCCGCCGACGCCGCCAAAGTACCGCAGCGCCTCGCCAACCTGCCCCTGGAAGAGGCCGACCAGCTCCTCGTCGAGCAGCTCGGCGTCGACCTGGCCGACGCGGAAGGCGGGCCGGGTGCCCTCGCGCGAGGACACCGCGTCCCAGGCCGACAGCGCGGAGTCGCCGAAGCGCCGGAGCAGCGGCGACTGCGTGGCGGCGACGCGGGCGCGCAGCTGCGAGGCCGAGCGCTGGGCGGCGAGCTGGGCCTGGGCTGAGGCCTCGCGGGCCTGGCGGCGCGCGGCGAGGCGCTGCTGCGCTTGCGCGAAGGTGGTGCTGTTGCTCATCTCGTCGGAGGGGGCATCTGGTTGGGTTGTAGCTCCGTCTTCGTCCTCGCCGGGAGCTCAATGGGTTGTCTGGTGCATTTTGGTGGACACAATCGAGGGGGATTGTCTGATCAACTACAGATGGGGAGAAAGTGCCGAGGTTGGAGCTCGGTCCAGAAACTAAGCATTCTGTGGCGTCATGCACATGCAATCCCGCAGGGCTGGTATTTATGTCTATGGGCATACTTCTTCAGGACCAGAACTTATCTTCAAGGCCCACTACAACTATAGGAGCATGTTTTCCTCTTCGAATGCATCGCGAACCTACAATGCATCCACATCAAACACCCTACGAAGCAGAAATGTAACTACGACAACTTTGCCTTTTGCGGACCAAGTGGACTGGCAAGTTTGATGCTTATGTACTCCGCAGGCTGCCAGCCATCCTCGCTGTACGGTATAGATAGATAACATGGATAAATCAATATCAATTCAAGCCATGTTTTAGGTTGATAGGCTCACGCCTTCCTTGCCCCGCGATCTACCCGCGCACCCACCAACCCACCACCATCCCACCATCCCACCAGAGCTGTACATTTCTTTGCAGATCTACCTAGCTTCATCAACTTGAGAGACAACCCGAGACAACACATCACTGGCTGTTTGTTGATTTTCCCTTCAGGCAGCCATTGTCCCCTCCTTAGCAAAATGAGTTTTGCTATCGAGGTTCCTGGCGAAGCTATCCCGCTCAGCCTGAACGAGCTTGGGCGCGCCTTGCAAGCTGCCACTTCTTCCTCGGACCATGCTCAGAGACAGTCTGCTGGCCAGCAGCTCACTGCTTGGGAATCACACAAGGACTTCTATCCTTCACTGCAGGTATGGGATCCGACAGCTAGTATCATAGTCGCGTTGTGCCTGAATCTTACTTGTGCCTTTGTCTCAGACCGCCTTTCTCGACAAATCCTTGCCCCATGAAATCCGATTTCTTGCCATCATCCTCCTCAAGAATGGCATAGAAAAATACTGGAGACTCACAGCCCCCAAAAACTCCATCAAGCCTCCCGAGAAGCACCTCATTCGTTCCCGGCTATTTCAAGGATCTGTTGATGAGGAAGACCGGGCATTTGCTCTTCACAATGCACTGGTCATTGCCAAGGTAGTCCGCATCGACTATCCCAACGACTGGCCCGATGCCCTCCAAACCTTGATCGACCTTGTTAGATCTACGAGAGGGGGAAACCAAATGCAGCTTCATGGTGCTTTGGTCATAATCCACCGCGTCGTAAAGGAGCTTAGTACGGCTCGACTACGAAGATCCCAGACAGCCCTCCAGAGTGCCACTCCAGGATTCGTCCAACTTCTTGGAGAGATTTACACGGAAAAGGCGGCATATTGGCTGGAGTTTCTGACAAAAGGCCGCGGAGACGAAGACGACGCTGATCTGGCCATGCAGAACAGCTTGATATGCCTGAAGATACTACGCCCCCTACTTATGGTCGGCTACGAGTACCCCCACCAGGATCCCACCGTGCAGCAGTTCTGGTCACTCTCTCAGTCCCAATTTGGACAGTTTCTCGGCTACGTCAGCCATGACTCCCCAATCCCTGCCCCATATCAAGATGTTGTTGGCAAGCACCTTCTCCAGTTTGCCAAGCTGCATCTCCAGATGTGCGAGACACATGCCGCCAGCTTCTCCGTCCTCCCAGACTCTATCCCTCTGGTAAGAGCGTACTGGGATCTCGTTGCGAACTTCGCAGAAGTGTTTGAGAAATCAGGAGGCATCAAACAGACCGCAGGCGAAGGCCACGGAGCCAAGTCCAAGCTAGAGGGGCCGCTCCTCGAGAGGCTAGCTCTTCGAGGCCTCTTGCTACTTAAATGCTGTATCGCAATTGTCTTCCAACCGACCCAGACCTTTAAGTACAGGAGTGTTGAGGTCAAACAGCAGGAGACCGAGGCAATAAACCGAGTGAAAACCGAGCTGCTAACAAATGACTTTGTACTTCAAGTCGTCAACGTCATCATAACTCGGCTCTTCATTTTCCGGCAGTCAGACCTCGACGCCTGGGAAGAGGATCCCGAAGAGTGGGAGGCGCAGGAGCGTGACCAAGGGCAGGCCTGGGAGTGGGAAGTACGCCCCTGCGCAGAGCGTGTCTTGATGCATCTTCTCATCCACTACAAAGATCTGCTAAGCCAACCTCTCCTCGCCTACTTCGAAGCTACTACCAACGAGGATTCCAGCATTGTGACTAAGGAGGCTGTGTATACGGCTATGGGCTGTGCTGCTGCTACCATTCATGAGCTCTTCGATTTCAATGCCTTCCTTGCTTCGACCCTGGTCCGCGATGCCCAGGTTCAGGATCCACTGGCCAAACTGCTCCGCCGCAGGATTGCCATCTTGATCAGCCAGTGGGTAACCATCAAGATTTCCTCGGCCAATCGTCCGCTGGTCTATGAGATATTCCGGCACCTTATGGATCCGAACGACAAGATCAATGATCAAGTCGTTAGGATTACAGCGGCCAGACAACTCAAACTGGTGGCTGACGACTTCGTGTTCGATGGCGCCGCCTTCCTCCCTTTCGCCGCGGACACATTCACCCGCTTGATCAACATCCTCGGGGAGGTCTCTCTCGATGAGACACGGCTAGCTATTTTGGAGACCATCCGCGTCATCGTTACTAGGATGGAAACCAGCATTTCCCAGTTTGGGGACGCGATAATGGCGCTGCTGCCCCGGCTTTGGGATTCCGCTGGCAACGAAGAATACATGATCAAACAGTCAGTCCTCGCCCTCGCGTCTGCTCTTGTGATGGCGATGAGAGGCGACTCCCAGAGATATCAAAGCTTCATGGTGCCCCTATTGGCGGAAGCCATGAATCCCGAGTCTGCCCTCCACCTTCATCTTATTGAAGAGTCGGTTGAGCTCTGGAAATCCATTTTGAATCAGAGCTCGCCACCCCTCTCCGAGGACCTGATGAAATTGGTGCAATTGGCTCTTCCTCTTCTCGAATATGATTCAGAAGTGACGGAGGGATGCATGGGAGTTGTTAAGAACTACATTATTCTTGCCCCAGAGGCAATCCTAAGGGATGATCTCCGTCGCCCGACCCTGGCAGCCGTGATAAAGGGCCTGGATTCGAGAAGCCGCAGCAGAATTGGCCTTGGCACGGAGTCGATTGAGCTGATCATCCGGATGGGCGAGTTCATTGGAGGGACGCAGGGAGTGTCGGTGGTGGTCCAGGACCTCCTCGAATTGGGTTTCCTGCGGAAAGTCATTGAAGGACTGCACGGGGCGTGGGAGGACCAGCAGAGCGTGGGACCCAAGAAGAGGGCGACGAGCCAGATCAGCAACATTCTGGAAAAGGAATACTTCACTCTGCTGGCACGCATAGCGTTGGCTGACCCCACCGTATTTGTCAACATGCTAGCAAGTTTTGGCCCTGGCAATGCTGTCCAGCCGGTCTGGGAGTGGCTGGGCTCGGCGTGGTTCTCCAACTTTGATGGCATGGCCGACATCGACCGGCAGAAGCTTTCTTGTCTCGCACTGACTCGCCTCTGCGAACTACCGCAGCCCATGCAAGATCTCGTCCTCGGCAAGCTCCAGGACTACCTCTCCATGTGGACCAGCGTGGTGATGTCGATGCAGGCAGGAACCGAGAGCGGTGCGGGCGACACACTAATTTGGGACGGAATACAAAGGTACGATTACGATACCCCCGTCGATATACTTGACCGCGAGTTCGCAGCCAAGGACCCCATCCATACGGTGCACACGTTCGACTTTGTGAGGGCGAGACTGCAGGACTTGGTACGGAGAGTCGGTGGCGAACAAGAGTTCCAGGCGCGCTGGGCGGTCAATGTGGACAAGGAGGTGCTGGTAGGGTTTCAGGGCTTGAGCGAGCCGCGGCCAGCTGAGGATTGAGCTGGAGGCCCATGTCACGAATTAAGGGAGAGACTGCGTATTGAGTCCAGTCCCTTCTTAGTATGCATAATGTATGTATGTACCTACCCAATTACGCACCGGCTGCGTTGTGTGACGGGCCCGGGACCGAAATAGACCTATCAGCCCCTCTCCCTGCATCACTCTACTGAGCACTGGATCGGTTCCTGTGGTTGTTGCCCGTTCCTGCCAGACCTCGGCCCGACCAGTAAGCCTTTCGCTACATGAACCTCTCTATACGCCACGATTCCCAACCAATTCTCCAATTTCTCAATTTCTATCTATCGTGCCTCAAAAGAGTACTGATTGATACATGTTTAATACAGGTTCGACGAGTCGAGCGACACAATCACCACAACATAACATGACGACTGAAGCCCGTCTAGCATAATTTCTCTGCGTCAACGAGCACTAGGTTGTCCGAGGACCCCCGTATGCATCCGACCCTACCGCGAAAACGAGACAATCTGAAATGGACGACTTCGGAGACCTTCACCGGAGACCTTCACCGGAGCTTACTGCAAATGTCGGGACCTGAAGCACCTTCGCGGTTACTCAGTTGAATGGTCGAATAGGGACCACACGGCATTCACCGGCAAACGAGTCGCGGTTTTATCAGGACCAAACACTGAACTGATTATCAGGACTGGCTGCGCCGGCAACAGATCTAGCAGCCCGCCGTCGACAGCCACAACCTCAGCGCTGGAACAGGATTCACGGTTACAGAGACAATGCGGTCCTTACGCTCCGACACGGTCATGCCGGCAACGACGTAATTGCGATCCAGTACTTTAGGCTGCATCGAGACCATACGGAACGCCATACCATACGAGACCGCCATCTAAGACCGCCATCTATATCGTCTGCTTACGAAGCAAGACTCGATCCCCATCAGTGTCTGACGATTCATTTGCAGACGGCCGATACCGCCGGCTGAGTCAAGTAAAATGGCGCTAATGATTCATTACCCCAAACACGTGATCGGTGCGGGGTGCACTTTTTACCCGCGGCAAAGCTATTGCCGAGGTAGTTCATTGCCGGCAATGGAGGTTGAAGAACGACGACGACGACTCCTAAGAACATGGGACGGCAGCGATGAACGGGGGTTTTCCACAGAGCAACGTGAAGCAGAAATACCAAATACTTGCCATCAGAAAGAAGAACCCATATCCTCAATTATATCAAGATAAGGTCCACCTCGATGCTGCGTACTCCATCCTAAGGACCTTGCCAAGCAAGCCCCTTGGACTGGATTCCCCAGCCTATGGGCCCTCCCGTGGGGTGTGGAGGAATAGCTAGTTCTGCGATGCCAATCCACTTTCCTTGCCAGTCGTGGCTAGACCTGTGAACTAGCTCTGAGCCTCTGACCAACCCTGGGGAAAGCTCGTGGACAGTGGCCAAATACGTCTGCCCTGTCCTGCCCATCCCCCGCATTTTATCTTTCTCCAACTTCTCGTCTTCAGACCCCTCATCCCCATATCTTATTTTCTCTCATCCCTTCTCATTCCCATCCTTCCTTCCACCCGCCTTTCCCCCTGCTGTGACCCAGGCCGTCGTGGAAGTCCAAGTATTGCAGCACAGGCACAATGGCTTCAAGTACTGCCGTTACGGAGACAACGGACCCCAAGCCCAAAGCCGCCAACAAGGTCCGCAAGAGAGCGCCAAAGGCCTGCTTGTCCTGCCGGGCGAGGAAGGTTCGGTGCGATGTCTCACAGCGGGGTCGACCTTGTATGAACTGCTACCTCGATAGCGAGACATGCGTGGTAACAGGACGGGCCTCGAGATTGTGAGTTGGTGGGACTTTGGACTATGAGAGTTGCACGCACTTACACCCACCCGTTGTAGCCGCAGGACACAACGCGATAACCCTGAAAACGTCCAGGCAGCATTCCCTCCGTATGCCCCGGACAACATCCACCACGCTCCTACGGCAGAGGAGATTGTCAAATCGAGGGCTACTGGCAAACCTGTGCCTGACAAAGACAATGCTTCTCACACGCCTGAGAATGTCGGCCATCGAGCCGAGCCTCTGGCCACCCCAGGACCCAGTGTAGAAAGGCCAGTGACGGCCCAGAGTCAACCACAGTCACAGTATAACAGCCAATTGCTCAACGGACAGCCCCGGCCTCATCCGATCGCACGCCCGAATCCATATATAGCTGCGTCATTGCCTTCGCCGTCATCACAGCAGCCCCTTCAGCTGAACTCCGATATCGTCTACTCATATTACCCCTTCCTCAGTGTCAGCAACCTCCCCAACATGTTCCCACAAGACGTCAACTATCTTGAGCTACAAGGCTGCTTTAGAGTACCTACTAAAGCAATATTGGACGAATTTGTCCAGCAATACTTCTTGCATGTCCACCCACTCCTCCCACTGTTCAACGAAGGAGATTTCTGGGATATCTATTGCCAGGAAGGCCCTGTCGCGGCCTCCGGCCAGCGAATCTCACTACTTGCGTTCCAATCTCTAATCTTCGCGTCATGCAATGTATGTCACCCTGATCCATATCGTCCGACAGTGCTGACAGAATCGAAGTTTGTATCACGCAACAGCATCAAGGCATTAGGGTTTACAAGCATCCGTACTGCGAGAGCGGCCTTGTATAGGCGAGCTAAGGTAAGATACTTTCAGTGAAAGTCGGCCCCTCTCGGCCACCTCGCTTACAGTCCGGCAGCTGCTCTACGATTTAGAGAGCGAGTCCTCTCCTATCTGCATCGCACAAGCGGGCCTTCTCCTCTCCTTCTGGTCGCCCTTGTCCGGCTCAGGAGCCCGGAAACCCAATTCGACGTGGCTCAGCATCGCCATCCACCACGCCAGAGCCGCCGAGGCACACCGTTACTCATCATTCACATCGTCGGCACCGTCCGGGCCGAACGCTGTCCCTGTTACCCAGCTGAAGAGGCAAAACACCCTCAAGCGCATATGGTGGTGCTGCGTCATCCGAGACCGCGTCCTTCCGCTATGCATGCGCCGGGGCATCCAGATCACCCGGGCCCACTTCGACTTTGACGGAAACAGCCCCCTTGGCGCCGCAGACATGGCCGACGAGGTCGACCGCTCCAAGGTCTACAATTCCGGCACAAAGCGCGCCCTCATCGAGATTATGGCTCAGGTGATCGACCTGTGCGTTTTACTGACCGACATGCTTGTGCTCGTCTATCCCTTGGATGACACCCCTGGCTGGGGGAAGATGATGGGGCCGAACGAGATGGAGAGAGTGAGAGAAGCGAAGTTTGCCCTGCGGAGATGGTATAAGGGGGCAACCCTGAAATTTCCAATGTTTGGCGGAGGCAGTGGCGCAAGAAGGAGTAGCAATATGGGTTCTGACTCCGGCGTTGTGGGAGGCGGGAGGGAGTTCTATCATGATTCGGTTATCCTTTACACCAATTTGATGTACATGTATTACCAGTAAGTATTTTGCCCCCTTCTAGCCCCTAAAACCCTTCGGAGTAGGGGTGCTAACGTTTGGCAGCTCCTGCCGAGTTGCCCTCTGTCACCACGAGGTCCTCCATCTCGCGATTGCATCCACGCAACCAAACGATGGAATCACCAGAGACGTCTCCACCATCTACGAGAACCGCCACGAACTTCAAGATGCTGCTTCTGGCGTTACCGAGTGCCTCAAGGAGCTGATTCAGCTTCGCCTGGCCCGCTGGCTACCCATCAGCGCAGTTGCATGTACGGCACTGCCCCTGGTCCTCCACATCCTAGATGTGAAGCTGTCGTCTCCAAGACCAGGCAGCAATGACGCTAGTGGCGACGCATACAGCCAATCTTCGCTCAAACAGCACCGCCTCAATATCCTCATCGAGGCGATGAAGACGTACCAGCCACAGTACGACGGGGTCGATTGGATCAGCGAGACGACCAGGCACATCATCAACCTGGCACAGCTAGACGCCCCTCCCGAGACAGCCGCAGCCGGGTCTGGCGACGCCAATGCCGACGGCAGTGGCAACGGCACCAGCAACGGCAACGGCAACGGCACGGTCTGCGACTGGACCGACATCCTAACAAGCCACCCCAGCCTGTACCTCCGCTTGGCGCTGACGATGGACCTGTCCCTGAGCAAAGACCGCATACCGGAGGAGGGCGACTTCCCCGCAAGCCTGCGCGGGCTGTTCACGGGCGGCTTCCACCCGCTCCAGCTCATCTTCGGGGCCAAGGAACGCGAGGCGCAGAAGCAGAGGCAGATGCTGAGGCCGATCCCGGGCTCGCTGTCGTCCATGTCGGCGGCAGGCGGCCCGTCGAACGGCTACAGGACGCCCGGGCCGGGGGCTGCGAGAGGCGGAGGCGTCGCCCCGCCGCGCATGATGAAGGAGTTCCTGGCCGGCGACCAGATGCTGAGCTTTGGCATGCAGATGGGCATCGACATGGAGCTGGACGACACGGCCATGGCGGGCATGTGCAGGACCGAGGGGCTCCCGGACTCGGACCTGGACTCGGAATCGGACTCGCAGTCACAGTCGCACTCGGACGACGACGACGACGGCCAGTCTGGGCGATCGGCCGCCGCGACCAGTGATGATGGTGGCGGGTGCGCCGCCGCCTCTCCGGGCGGCCTGGCCCACGGCGCCGAGGACGGCCACCATCAGCACCAGCACCAGCACCAGCACCAGCAGCCGGCCTTCCAGCCCTTCACGGCCGAGGAGATGGACGGGCTGGAGGCGCACGTGCTCGACGTCTTCATGCTGCACAACGAGTCGCCCGCCAGCTACGACGGCAGCGGTGGCAGCCACCACCTCAAGGGCGCGACGGCGGAGCTGTTCGGCGACGCCCTCGGGCAGGACACGGCGGGGGAGTGGATGGAGCAGGCGTGGGCCGACGAGGGGAGGAGGAGGGAGGGGGCCGCGGACGACGGGGAGACGGCTAGGGCGCTGTTGGACGCCATGAAGGGCGGGGAAATTCTGGCGTGAGGTGAGGGGGGGTGCACATTGTAGGAACTGAGGGGTAGTGGTACGCGTGTACCGCTCGGGGATGTCTCACCTTTTTGGGAGGGCTGTGGCTTGTTTGCGCATGATTGCGTGGTGTTGGGTCGGAGTTGGGTTGGATACAAGTGCGTGTGAGATCGGAGCGAATAGGAAAGGGCTAAAAGTAATAAGGGTCACATGAACGTTTGTTGGTGTAAGCCTGTGGCTTGTTTGCGCATGATTGCGTGGTGTTGGGTCGGAGTTGGGTTGGATACAAGTGCGTGTGAGATCGGAGCGAATAGGAAAGGGCTAAAAGTAATAAGGGTCACATGAACGTTTGTTGGTGTAAGCCTCCAATAAGCCGTCACTTCGTCACGTCGCCACATCGTCACAGATGCCTATCGGGGTATAATCTCTCAATGTTATCCATATACAGCCATGCGATCGTCGTCTTCGGCCATTAGAAGTACCTGTGTGCCCGGTTGTCGGCGGGAACTGCTCGGGCCGATGGTGACGGAGTTGCTTTTCACGCTAAGTGGCTAGGTTGGTTGGTTCCAAAGTCTAATTTGCCTTGTGTCGGGTTGACTTGATGCCGAGCTAGGCAGGCCTATCTGGGTCGGCCAGGCAGTCACGATTCGCATTTGGGTGGAGGTGGCAGTGGTAGTTGACGAGCGTCAAGGGTCCATCCTGCCCAGGGTTTAGAGGTTAGCACACTTGAGCGCTGTACGCGCTTGGGCTAGCCGTGAAATTCAGACTTGGCAGCCCATGGGGTTGAGGTGAGTAAGAGAATTTATATGTCTAATACTACTCTGTTTTGGGTGGTCGACATATCGTGGCTTTGCGCAGCAAACAGGCCGAAAGAAATGGCCCTGCAGTCTCCCATGGTATGTACTCTTGGCATCTTTGGCTAGTGAGTAGTATTAGTGTAGAGGCAGTGCATAGCTTAAGAGGCGAGAGATCAGCGCGTCACCACGGGAGGAACAAGATCTGAACCAGAAGAGGCATGGAATGCACAGATGCAGTGATGCAGGAAAAGCAATTACAATACCCAACGATGTGATGGCTACAAACTCCAGATCTATTTTGCAGCCATTTTCAACGGAGTTTAGAGGTGATTTCGAAACGTGGTGGATGTGTTAGCGAATGATGGCGGTCGAAGGAACGGTCTTTCAAGGGTCCTGAAATAAAGCAAATTAGTGGGTCTGCCATCACATGACTGGTCCCGGCAGTCTGGTACCACGCCAAATTCTGCAGCATGAATGGCTAAAATGACTCCACGTCACTTCGTTACCAAAATGTCGGGTCTATAAGTGGAGACATTTCCAAAATATGCGCCTCTGGTTGGTCAAACATGCCCAAACACGCTGTTCTGCTTTTGGGAAAGTATCGCGACAAGCCCTAGGGAAGTGTCCATACATATCCATCCCACACGCGCTGCCCCGAATGCGGTACGACCGCTGCCGGTAGGGTTGTTAGTTCTATTCTTCGACCAGGAATCCGCGTCATAAGTTTCCGGTCGCCAGGGAAGCTCTCAAACCGCAGGAAGAACCTGGAACATTGGAAGAGGCGAGTCATAAATTGGCTTCTGAAATGCAGTAGGTTTGCAGCATTAGGTGAGATATGAGGAATTACGGTACCTGACTAGCAAATCCCCGAGATGTACAGTGTATTAGGTTCCATATCACCGAGTGTGCGACACGCGCAAGGTCCCTCGGTGGCGGTTGTCTTCCCAGTGCAATTTCCAGGGAACGGATTCACGCCCGGATCCCCCGGGAATCCTCGTTCCCCCACGATCGGCGGGGGATGTTAGTTCTATGGATACGTACGCAGTATGCTTTTCTATTTCTCCCTGCCGCCGAAGGACTGTAAATTTCGATGCTGCAGGAAATGAAGGTAGGCGCTGGACAACCCTGCGCGCTTCATTCTCCAACCGAAAGTGGCTCGGTTGGGAGTGCCTGCATGAAGGCTGCAGCGAGCAGTCGAGAAAAAAGTTTCGGCATATCGAATGTGACCAGTCGCCACGGCAAAGAGATCGTCCACCCGTGCGAGTCTCAGGTCCATCATTCATTCATCCAGGGTGGCTTCAACTTGAGTCCCTGAACCTCATTCAATCTACAATACTGCATTCCTGTCGCCATCCTTTTTGCCTTTTTTATTCTCCATAATGTATCAGCTAGTTATCAGAGATTTATAGAGACTCCAAAACTTATAGTATACTTATATACCCTCCCTACCTGTCAGAGTGACACAATGGCCGCCTTCAGCCGGATGTCATTCTGCATGCCACACATGGAGGGCAGTGCCAATCAGCCCCTGGCGATGGAAGGATCGAGCCAGTCCTGATCCCCGAAAGCAGGCAATCCTGCGTCTGAGCCAACCCGGATAAGCTCCGGCCAATGGACCCTCGAGTGTTATAATATTTTATTTAGATACTTTGACCGTGCCCTCATGGCACAACCCTGCCCCTGGAAATCCTCCGCGGTCCACCCCCCCTCCAAAACCCACCTCGCTGAACGGCGCTTTCACTGCCAATCCCAGTGGCGATATTGTCTCCATTATTGCCCTGCAACGTCCGGTATCCTGAGCCTGAACATGGGGCATGGCGGCTTGACAGCGGTCGCGTTGTCGATCGAAGCCGACCAACAACACATTAGGCGAGTTTGTACGACCGTTGTTGGCGCTTTGCCATCATGGAGGGCCTTCCTCTCTTCTGTCCCTGTCTGGCAACCTTGGTGATCATATCCGCCAACCATTTCCTCTCATGGTTGAGTGTTGGCGGCATTACCGGTGTTGGTGTCATTTCTGATGTTTCCGGCATTGTATAAAGAAGCCTCCTGCACCTGCCTTTGAAGAGAGGAAGAAAAGGCATCCTGCCCTGAAAATAGTCCTTCGAAATGGCACTCAAAATGGCTCCGGCGTCTGTTGACTACCCTCATCCCCTTCCAAAATCTTCGTACCCGCTTCCTTACACTCATCAGTTTGTGTCATATCTACCTTCGATTCCATCTGATCTTCCCATAACTCTTCCCCCGCTGGCCATAAACTGGCCGTCTCAGTGCAGTCTTTCGCCCCCCTGGGAAAGTTTACCTCTTCCACGACATGGGCATCTACCATCCCCACCTCCTTCACACGGCTCCCGAAGCCTATCGCCACAAAGCGTGGCCCGTTGGACCGATGATAGAAAGAGGTCCACGCCCCAACGCAGGCCGCCATCCGCATCCTCGACTTCGGCCTCATGGCTCTCTCCTCGGCAATATACTTTGACCCCTCCCCCGAGCCTTGCCGACACATCATCAACCTTTGACTGCTCCCATAGCATGTTCCTACCAAGAGCTGGTGGTCTACAATACCCTGAGCAATCCCCATACATGCCATATCACGCCGGCGCCAGCGTCATGGGTTTAGCCCAACCATTTCCACATCCACTCCCCAGACCAACCTCGGCACTGCCTACAGCACCATATCCTTTCCCGCCCAACCGTATGGGCTTCCCGTCTATCTTCGTTCCCGCAGCCGCCTCTTCGCATCATTTCCTATGCCAGCCTCCATATCACTCATGTCAGATGCCCCGCGGCTCTTCCTATCCATGTGAGACTACCAAATGGTTAGACTTGCTAGCGCAGCTCCGCCGCTTGCCACGCGAGGTCCTCTGTCGGATCAGCGGATATGTCGACTACGAGAGACTCATATGCCTCTACCAACTCAACAAGTTCATGAGGGACAACATTGACATACAACAAGCACCTTACGACTCAAAGGTGGCCTTCGTCGCATTCGCTGAGGCTAGATTTCCAAAGCACTGGCCAAAGCAGAAGCGGAAGAACCCAAAGTCTGCCCCGGAAACTCAAGGCCCGGCTGGCTTGGTAAACCCCAGAGGTGACGCGGAAGGAGGAGGCACAGGGAGGGGTGAAGGTCCGAACAAGAGGCAAAGGAGTAGCAAGTGCGATACCCCTGAGAATCCTGACGGGGAAAAGGACGTGGAGAGCGTTCATAATCCTGGCAATTTTGGCTGCTACCTCGACTGCTTCAAGATCCTTGACGCCGAAAACTTTGAGAGCTTCCAATGGACAACTCGAGATGTCCAAACCACTCCCTCTTCCGAAAAGCCGCGATCCAGCACCTTGAGTGAGCCCCTCACAAACCGACTCCCCTTTCAGCGCTCGTCGCCCACCGGCCGCTGCACTCCCACCAGACCAGCCACGCGTCCTACCACGCCCGCGCCCGCACGACGGCCCTCAGGGCAGAACACACCCCAGCCGCGACGGTACTGCATCAAGTGCGGTGTCAAGCATGGGTATTACAAACCTGGGGAGTACATAGTGCGTCGTGCGGGCGAGAGAGTCTGGGTCTGCACCTGCCTCCGGATCCATGAGTACGGGACCATCACTTGCGGAGGTTGTGGCTCATACTGCCCGTTCTCTCCTAGCGACCGTTGATGTCGCCCGGGCCGGCTACGCCAGAACATTCTCTCTCCTATGTTATCTTTCCTTGGGTACCATCCACACTTGTCTTTTTTGCGGACCTGATACCTGGGGCTGGTCGATTTCTCTTTGGGTTATGGGGCGCAGGGGTAATTTGCATGCCTCAAACAATTTTTATGGCACTGGCGCTCTTCACGCTCTCTGTCCTCTGTGGGGTCAAACCTAATATCGCGAGGACGAGGGCACTATCTAGATTGTCCTTTGCGCGGCGCAGCAATGCAGGTTACGCAGGAATAGGTTCGGGGGTTGGCTTTGAACGTATCTCCTATCGCGGGTGTTTTGCCAAATATTGTAAAGTAATGATACATCGGACTTCACCCAAAAATCTTGGAACCAACCAGTCGGTGCTTTGCTGAGCGGCTGCCCTCCTCCATCAGTGTCCATCTACACTGCCAACCAGCAGCAGTGCCGTGATCTTGAGATGCAGGCGCACGTAACATCTGCAATCATCCCCCAGTGGAGAACAACGGCCAACAGGGGGCGTGTATTTGATCCCAGTGGCTGTATGATGGCTTTGAGGCTGCTTCTTGCCGTTGTAACCGCCAGGTTGTCCTATTTGTGGATGGACGGATGGATCCCTTCCTCCCCTCCTTGAAATCAACCCGGTCCTACTTGTTTGGCTGGCTAATATGAGCCCACAGGACGAGAGATGACGACCTCGTCATCGCTTCGCAATCCCGTCGATAATTTACGTGTCAAGCTCGTCGCGATCGATTTCTTGGCTCGGCGCTTACCAATTCAATGCCAACGTTTCTGTGGATCAGACGTTTTATCAAACGGTGCTTGCCAGTGGGGCCTGCGCTGTGGGTACCCGTCCAAAAGGGGACCTCCCTGCAGGAGGTCGGCGACTCTACCAGACTGTCGGGTCGCTCGCCATTGGCTGACGCGCCTTGTAACTTTGACCCAGCCCTTGTTTCTTCGCGTTCTCTTCCGCGGCGTGGAGAATTGGAGCGGCCTGCGAATGAGAGAGCAATTACGTGCCGACTTATCAACTAGTACCATGCATGATACTGGGGCAATGTTTCATTGCGAGCTGATGGCGATGCTCAGATGCCAAGAGTACTCAGAGTACCCAGAGCGAGTACCCCCCGTCTTGTCACAGTGACATGTCCCATGCTACATGCCTAAAAGTAGCCCTAGGAAACTAAATAAGTTAAGCGCTGGACATGAGAGACTAGCGCGTCAAGGATGGGCCTACTCAGCACGATCATGGGCCTTCGATCAAGCGCATCTCATCTGTCAAAGAAAGCTAACTCCATTTCGTATTCAAGGTTTCAAGGACCCCTTTTCGGCGCCCCAACGGCTTCCAAGGACCAGCCCCCATTAAGAAGACCCCAGTTAATAAGCCCCGGCCGTCCCATTTGACTACCATCAGAACGCGCGCGATATATTGCAGGCTTTATATGAGGCGCTCCCGACTGCCGAGTTCTCGCGGCCGAGAAAATCTCGGCCCTGGCTCATCTCCCCCAATTCCGCCGGCGGTCCTCGGGACCGGTGCCATCCCGAGTCCACGCCGACAGGACCGATCGCCCCCTGTTCGCAAATTGACTTCCTGACAACCTTCTTTGGAGGGGCCGTGACTCTCGCTTACACTAAGACGAAAAGTGTGGCAGGGCTGACGAGGAACAGGGAATGCCGAAACCTTGTTGTTTGCGCCCGAGATCTGCCACCCTGGCCTATCCTTTCCCTGATTCTCCGCGGCAGCACGCCGGGATGGATCGACATCGAGCTAGGGCAGCGCCACTGGACGGCGGGGTATTGCGCTAGTGTATGGTTGAGTTCCGCCGCTTCTGTCAGATCTACGTGCAAGTCTAGATTTCCCCTAGTCTTATAGCGCCTTACTTCATAAAGCGTATGTCATAGGCCATCATGGGAGACAATGGGCAGGAAGTGCAGAAAGGTCGCAGGGGGGAGCTTGATGGCCAACGCCTGGGATGGTGGCAGTAACCACTATGGCCAGTGGGTGGGGAGTGAGGGCATCGTGTTTACACCCCTTCAGCCTGCCACAACCCCCAATCGCAAGGTCTAATACAACATTGTGCTGATCATGAGGACTCAAGTAATTTGTAAAAGGCGAACCTAATGGGGTCATCATTTAGTAGATCGCCGAGTCGTGAACTACGGGAAGCCACGGTCTACTCCCTAACGATCAACGAGTCAAGAGGGAGTGTCGATGGACCAATACTGACAAGCGAACCTCCCTTGATATGGGTTCGTACAGCATGTGCAACTAAAGAACGTTCCCTTCTCCCCCCCCCACCCGGCCTCTACCGTGCGACCTTATGGAGAAGGAACCCCCTTGGGTCGAAATTCATCGGAGGTCTAGATCAGCAAGTCAGCACCAACACAATCGCCCGGTGGAAGGCGGGGAGGGGAAGAGGAAGATATCCAGGGCAGGCCTGCTTGTGACCAACACGGTACTGGTGCAATAACACGTCAAAAGCTCATTGGGGGGTTTCTGCGCTTTCGTCTCTGGGGTAATTACTGTGTCGACTGTTGGAGATGGTGGTTACTGTCCACCAGAGCCCGGCAGAACGCCTTCCTCGACATGCCAAGTACGGCACTCTAGAACAGGTACTGTCGATGATGTCCCCCATTTGAGGTACGTGATGGGGAGAGTGATGGTGTGGGCATCAAGAGCTGAGGGAGTGGCTGGCCAGACTGTTAATTGACCATTGGCGTCACAGCCTCCAACCCTATTTTGCGAAGCGCTTAACTCAGGCAGTTGCAGTTTGTCATTGATAGAGCCTTCCCAACAGTGTCGAGTTTGCAAGGTATATCCAGTTGTAATTTGACTTTGGTAATTTTCGTCCAAGAGATCACATCACCATTCGTCAAAGGGTCACTCCCCCTACCTCAGCTCTGACGTCCTGCAATGCGGCTCTATTGCTCAACTTCGCTCTGTTATTGCTTGGGAATGATGTTTTTCTTGTTGTATCCCATTATTTACGGGCGAGGTCATTCTTTCCCTCGCAACCCTAATGCACACAAGGTTTGGCAGGGAGTGACGGGTGTTGTTTTGGCACCTGATACTTACCCCTGAATCCCCCTTTAGCCGCCCTCTTGACAACATTGAGCTAACACTATTTATCAGGGAATCCCGTCATGGCCGTCTCCTAGGTTATATTTTGTGGTTACTAGTCTCAAAGTCTGCGACGAATTTCTTAGAAACTGCTACACCGCTCTCCGCATTTTTACACCGAATCCTACAGGATGCTGAAGGGCAAGGGCAGAACAAGTCTGGTGGGAAATATAAGGAGCTATTGCCAACCTCCAAGCAGAGAGTGCCTCTCTTATATGCTGGATCTGAGTGGTGGTTCCACCGCAAGAGAAAAAAGGGGAATCTGGAGTTAAAGTACTCTGTTTGCCAGGAGTGGGGGCGGCCGAAGGTATCAGAGAGCGTCCAAGCAAACAAACAATGCTCTGAGACACAATACTTTAGCAGAAATGCCTTGATTGCTGAAAGGAAATTAGGTAAACCCCATCTCTTTTAAGGCTGGCTTTCTTTCAAGAAGGTCGAGATATCTCTCACACTGCCCTGGTCTACAGTGGAGGAAAGGGCTCAACTGTTTGGACCAGTTTCCTCCCAGGCTGACAAGGCACCCAATAGCACCCTCAGTCAACGGATAGATAGAAAGTTGTCCAGCTTTAGCCATCCCTCCATGCACTATGCTTTTCTGGAGAACGTGGGAAATAAAATGCAGAGTCACAACCGCCTATAGTTCTTCCAAAACCTCTTATTCCGATCACCAGTCTCACCACCTCACACCTTGGCCACAAAGGGCCACTCGTTTTTATTGTCGTCAAATAGATAGAAGCTCTATTTCTCTCAACTAGACCACTTCAGTGAAGTGAATTGAGCTGGCCATTCTGGTTATCCTGGTCAGACAAGTGAATTACAGTACCCGACTAGCAAGCCGGAAGGTGACCTGGATCTAGTCTTTCTCTGCGTCGATCCTGCCTCCAAAGCCCAATATCCCTTCCACAATCCTCCGCACGTCAACGATATTGCCCAATTTCCTTCCCCAGCTCCCGGCTCCCAGCTCCCAGCTCCCAGTCACCCACTTCACCTCCCACCAGCTTCATATTCCTTCTGAGTTGCCATTCTCCCCACGCCTTCTTCAATAGGTAGCTAGCTTTCTCAAAATTTGGCTGCTCTTGTGTTGTCTTGCGAGGTTCGTTCTTTCCCCTGACGACGTCCTCATAGTCTCGGCAGGAGCTGGTTGTCCTCCAACTAACTCTCGTACAGCTACAAATTTCCTTAAGGTTACCTGCTGCTACAAACCCAGACACTGACCGGACTCCTGGTCGGGTCAGCACTTCAAGGCTCTACACTGTGAGTGGAAGCAAGGCCTCAACTTGCCCACACAAAGGTTGACACTCTGCCTGGAACAGTTGGAATACATCCCAATATAATCAAGGCATTATCCCATACCAAAATCTTTAGCCAATACTAGGGCAGCAGAAGATACTGGACGAATTGAACATATTGTGCTCTTTCGCTTTCCAACATGCCAGAGACTTCGACAGAACCGTCCTCGCTAGAAGCACCCCCATTCGCTCTTCTCCCATTCTTCCGCCCCGAGGTTAGCCTTCCCATGAGCATTGACATGAAGAAAAGACTAACATCTCATGGAGAACCTTGCCAAGTGTTTCATTCTCCGTGAGACCGACGAGCCATATCAAAAGCTGGCTGATGCCCTGGGTACTTCCGCCGCCATAAAGGGTGGCACTGGAATCGAGACCCCCGGCGACTCCGGGGATGAAAAGGGAGTCGGGACAGGGTTGCTCCGAAAGCACCAGCCTTTGTTGGATGGTTTGGAGGACCATCACTTTGAAGGGAATGTGAGCCCGCAGGCGTTGCCACAGTAAGTCATCGTTTCTCATGCGAAGACTGAAAGGAAATGATGCGAGCCTTATAGGGTCTCTAAGTATGTCTGCGGTAGTGAGCTTACAGAGACGACCTTTGTGATGGGTGCTTCTCCATGCACTACCGAGTGTGCGGAGGCTGATGCTATCCAGGGTATGCCGCCCCCAATCCCAAGTCCAGTGGGCTCCATCGCAGACCCTATCCACACCCAAGCTCGGGAAGCGGAGGTGGAAGGCCCCTCTCCGGTCGCTCCTCCCAACTCACCTGCCGACAAGCCAGATGAGGCCAGCCGGGTGATATTCCGGAACGAATTCTTCGAGGTCAGGCCATCGTCCCTGCTCGGGTTCGGCGCGTTTGCCGTGAAGGAGCTGAAGTACGGCGACTGCATCCTCACCGAACGCCCGCTGATGCGAACGACTGGCATGGGACTGTTCAAGGACTTTGACGACCTTGACGAGGAGGACAAGCAGATATATATGAGCCTCCATGGGTTCTCGATCAAGAAGGACGCCCACGTGGTCGAGAAGATACTCCGGGCAAACAGGCAAGTGGCCCGGCCATTTTGGCAAGGGATGGTCCATGGTCATCCGAACGAAGCTGACAGGAGAGACACAGCTTCGCAGTGCCGGGCGGGGTGGCGGTCTTTGCCGTGGCGTCCAGGTTCAACCACGCGTGCAGGTCGGTTCGCAATGTTCTCTTCGCATTTGACAGCGAGCACGAAGTGCTCAAGCTCACCGCTGCCGAGGAGAAGATCGCGGCGGGTACCGAGCTATTCATTAACTACGGCGCAGAGCCCGAGGACCTCTATCGCGTGTGGGGGTTCCAATGTTCCTGTGGAGGCTGCAGCCCCATTTTGGCCCGGGAGGTTTGCATCGTCTCAGAGGAGACCTGGTCGGGTTGATGGTTGGTTGTTCATGGCTTTCGTGGCGGCCCGTGGGGGACCTAGAAGCGTCTTTCCCCAGCCATGTTGGGCTTTAGTCTTTGGCCATAGCCAGGGCTGATAAACAAGGAGGATGAGGTATTACGGGGATAATGATAATGACAATAGAAAAAAAAATAGAACGGTATGGTCGGGGTGGCGTTCCTAGCTTGCTACTTTCTCGAGTTTGCGTTGATTCCCCCCTAATTACGACAGTCACTCCCACATACTGTAACACTCACAACCCTCCTACTGATACCCCGAGCGAGGCAAAGGAGCCAGCGCTGGTCAATCCTTCTTGTCCGGCTCGGTATCTGGCAGTTATTGAAGTTCTATTCTTATATACTTCGGCAACCAGTGGTCGTGGACTTCTACAGCTGATGGACATTACCCCTGGATGGTGCTTTTGAGAGCTTTGAGCACCTCTGGGGACCTACTTTGTATTGCTTCGGTCACCGTCAGATATACTAACGGCATTGGCGCCGCACTACTTGTGTTAATCATCTAGGTATGTTGTGTCAAGGCAATTAGAGTTAGGTCACGCGGGGTTTCTGATCTCTCGCAACCGCCAAGGTAAATGGGATTATTCAACACGTTCCGCAGAACTGTAAAAAGGATACATCAGAATGAGAGGTGCCAGCTTTACTCTTGTCGTCATCGGCGGGGTGGCCGCTGCCTGGGAATTCCCACGCCTTGCGCTCTCGCCGGGGAACGTCCAGCACCCCTTCTCGCTGGATGACGATGATGGGGACGTTGATATTGTCACGGGCAGCCAGTTCAGTGGACTGAAGACGTTTGCAAACTTGCCATACGTGAATTGCTTCTCGGATGAAGAGGCCGAAAACAAGAAATACGACATCGCTATATTGGGTGCTCCTTTTGACACCGTGAGTGTACCCTCTCGCAAACGCCACAGGGCTCCTTTCCTCTGGACGCACATGACTGACGTGGACTTGTGTCGGTGGCCGATAGTCCGTCACCGCGAGACCGGGGGCTCGGTACGGACCGACCGGGATCAGGACCGGCAGCCAGAGGATATACCCGGACGGAGCCTGGAGTGTCTACACAGGTTTAAGTCTTCTAATTTCCCTCCACAGACCCCTGTTCCTGACCGGGCTGAAAAAGGAGAGAATGTCCTCAACTCCTGGGCGACCATTGTAGACTGCGGAGACGCGCCCCTGACCTGGCTGGACAACAACGTTGCCTTCAGGCAGCTGGACAAGCCGCACAAGGTTTTGTTCCCCACCATCCGCACTCTAGATTCCGATACACCATCTTCTGAGACCCGAAACCTTTTAGGTCATCTCCGGCCGCAAGGCTTCGAACTACAGCGTCTCCGCGACGCCGAGGATCCTCACATTGGGAGGTGATCACACGACGACCCTTTCGGCCCTGAGATCCACCCATGAGCGGTGGGACCCGGTGTCTGTGATCCATTTCGATAGCCACATCGGTAAAGAGGGACACTTCTCACCTTTCTGGCCGTGAACAGAACTCACAAGGAGCAGATACATGGGACCCGGCGGTCCTGGGCGGAGGTATCTCCGACTACGCGTGAGTGAGGCAAATCCCCCCCCTGTAATGGGCGTGGGGAGCAGTTCAAGAAGGATTAACACCAACCAAACCCCGTGGGGAAGAAAAGGGGCGTCAACCATGGAACGTTCCTCCACATCGCCCACGAAGAGGTACGTTGACTCGGCCTACCCCTACTCCATCCCAGCAGTACCCCCAGCGCGGCGGGGGGGGGGGGGGGGGGGGGGGGGGGGGGGGGGGGCGGGGCCGGGGGGGGGGGGGGGGGGGGGGGGGGGGGGCGGGGGGGGGGGGGCCGCCGGCCGCGGGGGAGGCCGGGGGTTGGGCATCCTGCTGTCTGCGCAGGCTGGATCGGCTGCCCCTGCTGGCT